TATATACTGTATATATATATATTATAATATTCAAAATTCCGTTATCTTGATAGTGAAATTTACGGATTTGTGAAGTAGTCCACTTCAAACGCGCTTTTCTCAAAACGTTTTCGTCGAAATTGTGTTCGTGCGGTAATTACGTTCTACAACCGAAAGTCCCCTGATGTGGTATACTTTACGACATGAGTGATGATGTGAGACAGAACTTTTATCGATATATTCACAACATGTGGATTATTACTTACAAAACTTGAAGACTTGCCAAACCATCGAAGAAACCGTTCGTTAACTTAGTTATTCCGTTAATGCCTAGATACCTTCGAAAAAGAAAAAAGAAAGTGAAATTAAATGAATTGGATCTTCATTGATATCATTATCATCATTGCTATCCTTATCATTTTTAACAATTGGGCTTCAGTCCTTCCTTTTATATGTTAACAGCCACGTTTTAACAATTGATAGATGGATAAATAAGTCACTTGGTTGCATGTTGTTGGGTATAATTGGCTGTAAATAGAACAAGACGATTAGTGGTCTGAAAGACGATTAGTGGTCTGAAAGACGATTAGTGATCTGAAATTAATTATATATAAGTAATTCATTCTTGTTATGGAACCGATAATTTTCATGAAAACTACTGGAAGTTTATTGGGTTATTGTTAACGTTATTGTTATTGATGGATCAAACGGAATTATCATTATCATCTTTTTTACATTATCAACATTATTAAGATTAGTGAGTGATTTACCAGTATTGACGTTAGTTCCTTACATTTCTACAAGCACAAGCTGAACAACTATAAATCAAATTTCTAAACGACTTACTCCGTACAAATTCTATACAGCCTGTCTCTTATACACATCTAGATGTGTATAAGAGACAGTATATATACCCACACACCTCCCCCTAATGGATTTGAGTGAACAATGACTGATTATATATGAATTATTATTATTACTAATATTACAATACTGGATCCGCGCTTGTCTACAAAATACTTGCAGTCATGCATGCATTAAAATATACAATTTCTAAACGTTTTATATAAACATACAGTACATACAATATATATATATATATATATATATATATATATATAAGAGACAGATATGGGTGTGCTTGGTGTGTGTGGGGTATGCGTGTGTGTGTGTGTGTGTGTGTGTCAATACATATATACAATACGGTACGTATATACATGGCGTTGCAACGCTATGTTAATGTATGCCAGTGTTTGGTTTATTTTAATTACATGGTTTACAATTTTCATTGCAGGTAAAATGAAGAAAGCAATGAAGATGAGTTTAATTTTCATGTATTGCTGGTATATTCGTTAGCTGGATCATCCTGAGTATGTTTGATTAGAGATACGCTCGATACATACCCGCCATGTAGAGAAATATAGGATTAATACCGTATGTTTAGTACTTCACAACTCACAACTTACATTTTACATATCCTAAATTTACGATCACTTTGTTTTATGTACGCCTTAAAAATGTTAAAAATGGTTTGACTGTAGTCATTTGAAATTGTATAATTAATATTGATAACAACAGTAATAATAATTCATTTACTCCAGGCATACGGTAATTTTTAGCGTGCCTTTACTTAAATATTAAGGCATCCGGCCCAATGCCATATAACTATAAGTTTCATTTGCTTTTATAATTGAATAATGTGATAATCATATATGCAATATGGTCTTACCTCAGCCCCAACTATGATTGGGCTGAGGGTATAGACCCTCAATCTGTGAAAGTCCCTCTCTTGGCCCCTTCTATTTCAAATTCCTGGATCCGTCACTAGTTGTGTTTGAATGTTTGCACAGCTAAGTATAACATAATATCTGATTTATTGATTGACTGATTTCACAGTCAATCTAATTCTAATTTTTTCAAATTTCGAAAAAAAAAGAAGAATTATAATTAAATTTAGGTCTGAGAGTGCTAAAATCATAAATTTTCTTACCTCAGCCCCAACCATGGTGGGTCTCACGTGGGCTAGACCCTCTGCGGTGAATGTCCCTTCCTGGGGCCCCTCCATTTCGAATTTCTGGATCCGCCACCGAACAAGCAATAGCATCCTTGTACAGTGTACGTAATCATAACACATTTTGTGTGAACACCATGTAGACTCTTAGCCCATGCTTCTTTAATAATAGTCAGTGTTAGATTTGTTAAACCTAAATGCATTGCCATATATTCATAGGTTAAAACATTTTGAAATATTTATTTCATTCAGAATGTCCACCTTTGCCGCTGGGGTGCACCTAGAATGTACAAGTATTTGTAATATTTGTTTGAATGGTGGCATATGCGATGACAAGACAGTACAGTAACTGTATTTGTGCATCAGGATTTAAAGGAGAAAGCTGTGAAAATAGTAAGTCAAAACAAGTTGTTTTGGTATTTCATATCTACATTAAGTTTATTTCCAGACCTTGCATAATAGTAATATGTCTAATTTATTATTATTATTATTATCATTATTATTATTATTATTTCACCAGATAAAAAGCAAATCGAAGTGAGGTGAGGCTTTGCTGGTTTATGACGAGGTTGCATCATTATATGAACATCTCAACCATGGCCATAATGGTTCCCAATGAGACTGAAAGATTATTCTGTCTTTAAAAACACCTGGTGCCGTCCTCCCAAAACAGTGGACACCAAGAATTGCTGAAGAAATTGTTTAACTATACAGGTATGTCAACATTATTCAATGATCAATAACATTACTTACTGTATATATAAGTAGCCTCAAAATGAAGCCTATCTCGAAAAGAAGCTTTTGAAAGGGCATAGCTTCTATTCGACGAGTTACAGTACTGTATACTGACAATTTTCAGCTCAATGTACTCAACCCATCATGGTTAGGTAGCTACAGTATATACAAATCATGATAATCACAAAATGACTTCTTAACATTCCCCGTGAACCCAGGAGTCACATAAATCTAAGGATGCCTAAATTGCAAATACATTATTTCTAGGTACAGCTGTATAACCTTAAGCAAGTACAGTCTAAAACTAAACAGTGGAGGTATGGGTACACCCCAAGGTCAGACCCAGAGACAAAGAAAATATAAAAATCATCTCTTTTTGGGTTGATCGTTGACCATATGGCCAGTTACACAAGGTATTAAAACTTGCACAACAGGTGTATAACTATAATTATGTGTACGTGTTACAAATTTCAACAATGTACCTCAACTCCATCATGGATAGGCAGCTCCACACCAAACATAATTTTTGCAAATCGCAATGTTTTTAATGTATGTACGGCGAGACTTTTTTTATACCTTGATTAGCGAACCTGCCGACTGCAAATGTTGATGATTTTGAATAAAAATAAAATTTTATTTTCGGCCATTTAGTGCACCTGCCGCCACAATAAAGTGGAAATTTCAGAAAAAAAAAGTTTTTCTTTATTTCTATTACGCCCTCCGCTGCCTTGAAATATCCAAAGACATGTATATTTCTTCCTAA